ATGAACCTTCAGAAGCTGCCTCATTAATGATCTTGTTGTGGAAGAATAACCCTGATGGATGTAAAACATTTAGAGCTTTATTGTCTGAAACCGGCTGCAAACACACACGAGTGTAAAACAACTAATTATGGAAAGCCTCAATTCTGTTTCAGGAAACACTCACATTAGTCTGTTGCCATTTTGTGTTGTTATTTACTTTAGTGGTTACGTTAGGGATAATGCCTGGCAAGGTGTCCATTATCAGGAATTAATAGACTCAATAGTGTTTCAGAAATATTATGGAAGTGAATCACATTCATTTAAAAACAATCTGTTCTGTGTGGTCTTTCTGAATTAACAAGATACCTCCTCCATACCCAGGGTCGGTTCTCAGCACCTCTGATTCTAACCCAGACCCTGCATCCAGCCACAGTTAGGGGTGTGCCTGGGCCAAGGTCAAGAATAAACTCTGAACCTTTTGATAAGTTTCTATTATGGTATGATAAACATTTTATTTTATTTGATAAAACGCTTTTAAAACCAGATCCTGGTCTGATATCAGTCAGGAGGTCAGTCTCAGTGGGGACAGGGACTCTCAGCACATCAGTTCCTGTCTTCACTGTTATCAGCAGTGCTGCTGGTACAGACTGTGAACCAACAGTCCTCAGATAGTCAGTGTGACAGAAACAGTGTGTGAGCTCTGGTTGTCTGTTTATACCTGAGAGTGTCCAGTCTCCACTGTGGATCCTCCAGTCCAGCAGACAGCAGCTTCACTCCTGAGTCTCCTGGATGATTGTAGCTCAGGTCCAGCTCTCTCAGATGGGAGGGGTTGGATCTCAGAGCTGAGGCCAGAGAAGTACAGCCTTCCTCTGTGATCATACAGCCTGACAGTCTGGAGACACACACATTGATATTTAATTCAATTGAAATGAGCTAAATGGTGATGATACATTGTCCAGTCCACTGCTTTTACATGAATTGTTACTAAACATCAATCTGCAATATATGTATATATATAAGGGGCAGCACAACAAGATGTAACTGACCCCACACTGCAAATGTCTTAGAAAATGGCTGGATACTTCTGCGACAGTATACCAAAGATAGCACAGTGGAAAAGACTAAATGTCTTTTAGCAGACATCTATGAGATCACAAAAATATATTTTAAGATGCAGCCAGCTCCACTGGGAACATGATGTCACTTTTTGAGCAGCCCTCTATCTCCCTATCCCCCTCTCCTCCTGTGTTTGTGTGATTGTCTGCAGGTTCGCTGGAGTCAGGGAGCTGGTAACCGTTAACTCTGGGCAGTTAAGCTGGCCCTTAAGGAATGGGTCAGTGGGGGGAAGGTGCTACACTTACATTGTATGGACTGACCACAAGAACCTTCATCCAGACCACTAAACATCTGAATTCAGTGGCCCGTTGTGATTTGGCAAAATACAATTAAAACTAAATTGAATTAAACAGAATTGAATTGAACTGCAATTTCCAGCAAGCCTGGTGGGCATGGTTCTGTGGTAGGTGTTTCTAGGAAGATCAAGCCAGACATTGAGAACTTTAACTCCAATAATAACTAACTAACTTCCAAAATGGTTCACTTCATTCCTCTCCCGAAACTCCGAACCTCCAGAGAGAATGCAGAACTGTTGGTCAAACATATCCTTCATCTGCACGGCATCCCCACTGGCATCCTTTCTAATTGAAGAACCCAGTTTACATCCCAGGTATGAAAATCTTTCTGTTCTGCCCTTAGTATTAATTAATTAATATTATTACTTCTGAATATCATCCTCAGTCCAATGGCCAAAACCCAGACAAGGTCAACAAGTAGATGGATACTGCTTTACGCTGAATGAGCATTACCCATCCTCCTAGAGCACCCAGCTACCATGGGTGGAATATGCCCTCAACACTCTTCTTCTGGTATGTCACCCTTTGATTGCAGTTTTGGTTATCAGGTTATCACAACTTTATCTTCCCTTGAAACCAAATGACTGGTCTGGTTTATTCAGTCTCAGGAACAGCTTGAGGATAAAAAGTGTTGGATGGCTCAAAACCTTCTAAAATTGAATGAAAGCCACATGTAAAAAACCTTGGTGTGATATTTGATTCCGCCTTTAAGTTTGACAAGCAAGTCAATGCTGTAGTTAAAGCTAGTTTTTCCAAACTTGCATCATTGCCATAATTAAGCCATTTCTCTCTTTCAAAGATCTCAAGAAAGTCATCGACACATTTATATTCTCTCGCCTGGAACTCCCTGTACACTGGTATTCAGTCATCCCTGTCCCAACTACAGCTGGTCCAGAACACCGAAATACAAGTTATATTTCTTTGTTAGTCTGCCACTATATGAGTGGCACCTTTTATATTACACACTTATTTGAGCAGAATTAATGATTGGTGAATATTACCTTGTTGCAAAGGTAAAACAATTTAATTGAACAATGAATCGTCATTCTCAGAAATCCCTGGCGAAAATTT